GAGCCAGCAAGTTTACGTCGCGATTTTCAGACAGAGTCTCACCGCCCACGTCCAGCTGTTCGGCTGCTATAAAAAATGCCCATATTATGAACAGTCCTTGTTCACTGGTACATCCTTGAAAAAATATATTTTCACAGACCAGATTTCCTTTCTCTCTCTCTCTCTCTCTCTCTCTCTCTCTCTCTCTCTCTCTCTCTCTCTTGTCCGGAAGTCCGTCGAGACTTTTCAATATTCAAATTTACCAACCCTGTCTTGCGATCATCGCCGCGACGAATGTCGCAACGCAGAAGGGTCTCAGTATCTCGCAGATTTATCGCAGGCGATACCACGCAGGCCAAGTTCATCTCATCGACTATGTTTTCTTCGTTTTCTTTTTTCCTTACACGTTTCTTCTTCTTTTCCCTTTTTTTTTCGGTAACTACGGACGATTTATGGACACCTGGGTGCCATAACTCGGCGTTATAATCTTCGTGTTAGAGAAGAGGCACGGCGAGATATGACGGAGGAAACACCTCGCGCTTAATGGAGCCTGTGAAAGGTGATCTGCTTGTGCGGGGAAGGAGGCCTCAAGCTCTGTAATTTCTGCGCGACTAATTTATGCATCGTCGCTCTCTTCCCGCTCGCCAGGCGTAGCTTGAGACGAGTTATAGCGCGCGTCATCAACACCGGCGGAATTAATGCTCATTTTAGGATGTCGATTTCCGTGTCAACGCCGAGTGCAATAACTTGTGAGAGAAAAGTAATAAAGATTTACGTGATTTACAAAATAACTTATTATTATAACTTACGAAAAAATAACTTCTCGAGAAACAGTAAACAGTCATCTTCTTATTATAAAATATATGACTGCATTCGGACAGCTTCGACATTCGCGATTCGAGACTGCGGCGCTAATTGAGAAAACGATTTACGAGCCGCGCTAATAATAAACTCGTGCTCACCCCCCCCCCCGGCCGGTGGCAGAAGAAAGGAGCGTAATAAAACGGAAGTTTGTGCCTCGTGTTATAGTGATAATTAATTAGGAAATTCCTACGGCGAAGGCGGGGACAGGTAGCGGTGCACTGCACCGTTCCTGAAACTAGCAAAGTCATTATGTACAGCGAAAATGGAAGTTTGCAGTCGTTTAACTACTCCAGCGACCGCTCGCTTGCGCGATTGCCTGCAGTGTGCCCCGGAGGTGGACTCGATAATGGCTTAATCAGCTCTACGAAGACTCCTGATTCGCTGCCGTGCGCTAACGCTGCGCTGGGAAACACGTCGGTGATCCCGGGAGGACGTTGCGTCTTTTTCACGTCAGGACGATCAAAACGCCCGCTCGACCGCGCATTTCGTCGTGGAAGACTACGCATATAAACCTCGACTGCGAGTAGCGTAGGAAGTGTACATCGACGAGTATAACGTAATCGCATTGCGAGGAGACCACGTCGACGACGCAATATTTCATCCCTCAAGGCTCCCGAAGGTTCGCGAGGAAGAACACAATATGCGTCACGTATACTGCCATTTGCTTAATACGTCATCTTTTACGGGAGAAATAAAAGTTTTCCGCCGCGTCGTATATATTCATATTTATATCCGGCTTTACCGAGAGCGACAGGGAAAGCGAGAGAGAGAGAGAGAGAGAGAGAGAGAGAGAGAGAGAGAGAGAGAGAGAAGCAGAGGCGTTCGGTCTTGAAATTTAATAGCGTAGCGCGCAATAAAAACGCTAAAGAGCCGCGCAGCGTCTGCGAAAATAACCTTCCAAAAAGATATCGTGAAATCATAATTTGATTATATAATACGACGCGTTGCCGGCCACGCCGACCGGGGGTTTCGCCCGAGTGCTCACCACCGAGGACAGGCATCGGTGCGCGATCGTGCTAAGTATCGCGGGTGATATCGGGCGGATCTTGCGGATTGAGGAGCAGCGGGAGACGGTACGATTCTTAAAATAACGATGAACACCCGCGCTACCGGGCAAAGCGCAGAAAAAAAAATTGCTCTTCTGCTCAGGTGGCGGGCGCCTGTGAAAGCGAAATATTCACTTCCGGCTGCGAAGCCGGAGAGATATTTGTCACTTCTGAGAGCGAGAATAAAGAAGAGCGAAAAAGGGCGGTAAAGCGGAGAACGCGCGCCGACCATGTTCCCGCGCATCGGACAGCTTTATCATGAGAATGAGGATAAATGAGGGAGGCTGTACGCTTCCTCCGCGCGCGTCCAGGCTGAAATTTTTCCCGAAGGCTGAAATAAAATCCGCGCGTTCGTCATTTCGAAATTAAATACCGAAAGTTAAGAGATCTATGGTGAGGGATTCTTCTCCCGCCTCCGTCCGGAAAAGTTGCGGCCCCAAAGCATGACAAAAGTCCAAGACTGGATTACCTGAAGTAACCCGCCGGATATTTCGAGCTTTCGCCGATCGATTGCCCTGATTCAAATTTCTGATCAGAGAGTATCCACCGGAGATCACAGGCGCCGCGGGAGAGGGGAGGTCGTATATCCGTTAAAATAGATATAAAAACTGATCGCCGATTATAATTGCCAAGTGTCTAATGTATCATGCATCGTACGTGCGTCTCATCTGATAATTAAGTAAAAAAATTCAAAACTCATTATCGAGTAGAAAAGTTAATAGGGTTCTGGTAAGGGCCTGATTATTTTTCCGTAATATTAATCGGACCCTAACAGGGATAGAAAGACAAGGGCCCTACAAGATGTGTAACAAGTAATTTAATGGGTCCTTGTAAGGCAATATTAAGAGGGTCTTATAAGGAAATATTTTTATTATTGCTTGAGTCAAAATATTCGTTATTTTTGATCCAAGAAATTTAGACTGCAATTTCTTTCTTTATAATCTTATTAGTATACAACAAGAATTTTTTAAAATATAGCATACTTTACAATAAAATATAGCATTCTTTACACATTACAAAAATCCTGCTACTGTTTTTATTAAAGTTTGCTGCATTTCAAAACGAAGGCAATATTAGAAAAATAGAAAGAGACTAATGAATATGACAACTAATAAAACTAATAAAATTTGTTTTTTATTGCGGTATAATTAAAAAATCTTTAAAAGAACCAGATACAGCATACCTACTAAAATAATACTAAACTATGAAAATTTTATTACGCGCTTCAGATCTTATTAATTTTCTGTAACAAAACTTGATGTTGTATCTAAAGCATCCTCAAAAGTTCCTTCTAAGGCTCACATCAGTTTTCCTTCTATCAAAGCCTTATTTATTAGATCTAAAGCATTCCTAAAAGATCCTTCAAAAACTCTTCTTAACTTTCCCTATCAAAACTTTATTTATTATTTATTATTATTTATTATTTATTTATTAAATCTAAGGCATCCCTAAAAAATCCTTCCAAGGCTCTCATCAGTTTCCTTCATCTAAGTTTTATTTCGCAAAATCCAAGAGATCCTTAAAAGAGCCTGAGCTCGGGGCCTGATGTGGTAATGATCAGTCATCCCTTTTCATTTAGGGCATCCTACTTTCAGCCTTATACTAACTTGTTGTATACTAACAAGGTTATAAAGAATGGAATTACTTCATGAGAACGGCCCTGACAATTTTTTCCTCGGGGAGGAGCTTATTTTGCACTTTTAGGTCCCCACGAGCGTGAGGCGAGAAAATGTTTAACGCGTCGACTGCCACGCCGGGATTTTCGCAGATTGCTCGGAACGCTCGGCTCAAGTTCGAACCACCGAGTACGCGGGCAGCGAGCGCGACGAGAGCGTGTATATTCGTTAGCTCGTCTCGTCGACTATATATAATATTTAATTTGTTATACGCAGTTGGTCACGTCTCGCACTTAAATCAGCGAGGCGCGGGCGATGTTGCAGCGGCCCGGTCGCGCCGGTGGCAGTGAACGTGTTAACCTTCACGTGTGCAGGCACAGAGGAGGCTCTCGTATATCTGACGTAAGGTCCTGCGTTAGATCGATAGCGGCCCTGACCGTCCGTGAACGACAGCCGTGGAGTACACAGAGTAAACGTGTACTCCACGGTGGCGTCCGGTCGGACGTATCCGTCGAAAAATAACCACTTGCAGCTCGACGTCTGGCCGGCATCGCAAGTGGTCATCGATAAACACCCGCCTTGCCCCGAGGCACGATGACGCAACGGATGATGCCGTTAGAGCGCGATGTCGCTCGTCGGTGACGTCGACGGAGAGAGAGAGAGAGAGAGAGAAAGAGAGAGAGAGAGAGAGAGAGAGAGACGTCGCGCGCTTTCAACACAGCCGGCTGCTTTTGGGCGTTGTTCAAATCGATTTTTATTCCCACGCAGCCACTCCCAGTTAGCACGCGAGGATCGAGGGTGCACGGCGCTCTTTGTTTTATCAAAGGGGATTTTTTCTTTTTTCTCTTTTTACCCGAACCGCCGCCTCCGCCGTCCCCGATAGCGCGGAATCCGGGGAATTTTGCGCTTTGTGCGCTTGATACGATGCCGTTCGCCGCGTTTCTATATTTACCGGCCGGCCGCGGCGCATCATTAATGGCCGGTCGATCAGCTGCCAAGCTTCACCGCTCGAAAGAAACGTACTTTCGTAAGTAATACAGGTCAACGCCTTGAACAGCAATGATGCGCCGCTACGCGGTACGCGATGTATAGCCGCGGACGAGATAAAGAGAAGTCGAGTACTTTCTGATCGAGAAGAGGAAGAGCGGTGGATCGAACCGCTGAGGTCCTCTAAAGGTCGTCATTACGACATCGCGATATCGAGTTTTGTCTCGCGAAAAATCGGGGATTGTATCAGTCTTTCGTACGAGAGGGACGTTTCTGGAAACGGCAAAATTCAGCATCTTCTTGAAGAAGATTGCCTTTACCTCCTCGGTTTTCGCCGCGATGGTCGTCGGGGTTTCGATGAGGCTGGAGAAACTGGCCCTGCTGCCGTGCCTGCTGCTTCTGCTCAGGGAACCGACATCGGTCACCTCCCCAGCGGCTATTCGGGCGATCCTGTCGTTTTCTATGCACTGCGACAGCGGTATGCCGAACACCAGGCCGCCGGCTACGTCTGAAGCGAGAAGAAAGGAGAGATACAAATCTCGCGGTCTCCTCCGTCCGTGCGTCGCAAACTTGAGGGAAGCTCGTTATCGCGAGTATATTTTCTCGTCAAGAATAGGACAAAACTTGGAATTTTGTTTTTATTTCATACTCCTGACTGAAGCGCCAAACTCACCAGATTCAGGCGATATTTAGAGTCAGTTTGATGTCAAACTTGTGAACGAACAGGATTTGCGAATGAACCTGTGAAATACTCGAATCGTGCTTTCGAAACGTTCTGAGACTACATTTTCAGTTGGACTCGGCATGCATTTGCCGGGATTGGGAAAGTTACTTTGTAAAAGTATCTAGTTAGAGTTAGTTTTCTTCACTGAAAAAGTACACTCATAAGTTACTGATCTTCAAAAATAACATGTTACAGTTATAGCTATTTAGAAAGTAACGTGTCGTTACTTTTTCACAATAATTGTGCTATTATTTTAAATTTCGTAATTGTGTAAATTCTTTCCATTTTATATAAAAGTAGTTTGTTGATTATTATATGTTTCTCATTTTGTATATAATTTTTAGAAATTAGATTCATTAATTTAAATAAGCAATTCATATTTATTCTTTAAGATTATTGATAACAATTATAAGAAAGTGAATGAATTTGATGAGGATAATAAAATACTAAAAATACTAAAAATAATCTTAACATCAAGAATTAGATTTTTCCACTAAAAGATATATTGATATTTTATTTTAAATAAAAACTTACACTCATATGTTTTCTTAAATTTGCAGTTGAAGTTCTACTTGCATGAATAATTTTTTTGCCAGTGCAAATTTTGCAGAGAAATGCCCAGTTGTACTCGTTTCCAAATTTTTGCTGCAACTCGAATATTTCTGCATATGCTGGCGCCATGGCATTTTACAATTCTTCTCCGAAGATTGAGACGTTTTATCCATTGCTTGAATTTTTCGTATAACTGAAACCGCGCAGCGCACTTCACGCTGAACGCAAGTTATGTTAACAAGTAAGGATAGGCACGACGGAAATGTCCAATAGGAGAACAATCTTTTTGACAGAAATACAGGTTGCGTTCGGAGAGGAGATTATCAGCGTTATTGCGTCATTTTATCCTTGTTTTAATCTAATGAACGATAAAGATAGGTGATGCAACAGCGCGTTTTCCAAATGCAGCCAAAATTACTCTATGCTTCTTGGGTATCAAGCATCGCACGTCGCGTTATCGTGCTGATCTGCCACAACAAAACAAATGTAACTAGGTTAAGTAAGTTATAGTTATAGATGGAAAAATTGGAACGAAGTTAAGTTATAGTTACCGAAAAAAGAAAAATAACTGTAACTTCATCACAAGTAACGAGTTACTTCCCAACCCTGGCATTTGCTGCGTGCGGTCACTCGCTCGTTCGTCGCTAGCGTGTTATCTATTTATTGTGCGTGATTCCGCCGGTGAATCTCTCTCTCTCTCTCTCTCTCTCTCTCTCTCCCTCTCTCTCTCTCTCTCTCTCCCTCTCCCTCTCTCTCTCTCTCTCTCTCTCTCTCTCTCTCTCTCTCTCTCTTTCCCCGCCTCTCTTCCGGATAATTGCAATCTGTCTGATCACTTGGTCGGCAAACGGAACACTGCGAGAGACCGACATCGATCTGATGTACGGGCCGGCAGCTGCGTTTCGCTCGCGGCACAGCGAATTCGCGTGTACGCTACATACGCAGCCGCGCGTATTCCGCGCGCACCAACAGGCCCGGTGATATTAAATCGTCTCGCTGTCTGCTAATTAGATCCATTAATATGAACGATACACGTCGAAAGCCATTTCAACGGCTTGCCGTCGATCCGTCGAGGCGTTCCTCCAAAATTCCAATCGCTACATGTTATTCAATTAGCGCTCCTCTCTCTCTCTCTCTCTCTCTCTCTCTCTCTCTCTCTCTCTCTCTCTCTCTCTCTCTCTAAAGCGCATAAACTAAATAATTAATAGCGAAGAACACCTTCTGATAGAATTATTCCGTCTCACTAACATTCCGTCTCACTAAAGAAAGGCTCCCGGAAGGGTTCTCCGTCCCGCTCACAAGGAGATAATTCGCTTTCGAATCGAATATCACGCACGAAAGCGCACTCGGCTCGCCCGGAGCAGCGTATCAATTATTCTCTTAAACACTAGATATTTCTACTTGCCTCCTTTTTCTTACTAAAGAAACGGAAGTTCAAAGACTCCGTATCTCGGAGAGAGCCTTTGAGAACTTTCCTTCCTTCCTTCCTTTAAAAAGCCTTCGATCTTGCTCTTCTTCTCACTCACGTGGGAGACAAAAGGATACGAGCTTGCACGCCGGTAATACAGCGCGTGGATCGTTCTTTTGAATCCCTTTCCCTTTGATAATTTTTTAATTTAATTATTTTCATTTCATTTAATAGGGTGCGCGCAGCTTTGCTCAGTGATGTCGTCGCTGATTAATAACCAATAACAATTTGGACGATTCCGTCATGCATTTCCGATGCCCTTCTAAATATCCGAGAAATTGTCTCAGCTCAACCGAGTTGACAGTCTCAAATCAGCCGAATTATTAGATCGGGCTTCTCCGGCTACCGTGGATACCACCGTGAACTCCACGCTCGACGCTCGGGATATTTTAGTGGGCCAGTTGCCGACACGCGAAGAGGCCAAGGAGTCCGCCACGTACGGCTCCGAATGACGTACGCATTCAACATGACACTAATTAACATCAACGTCTTACCCAGCAGATATCGCCGTGTCCTTTCGGATTCGCGGCCAAAACGTGTTCCACCGAGGCACAAAGTTGCAACTCGAAGACAGACGTGAACTCCTTCAGCGCCCACGCCCGACTCGCCGCGTCGATCGTGATATAAAAGCCGGATAATTCGAAGCACGTTTCGAAGTGCCGGGCAGCCGAGTCGGTCGAGGGTACCCGCGCCAGTCGTCTTCGATTATAACGTCAGCGGCGGGGAAAATTACACGGGCGAGATTCTTGCAATTCACGTCCACGGGAGCGGCTCTCTTCAGCGTCAAGGAAACTGCTTCGATTGCGTTAGACAAAAGCGCAATCGGCCGATATATCGCGCGCGAGCAGACTCCGGGTTTTCATTAACCCAGCGGGAAATGCCGACGGGGATTGGTTGATTCTCTCAGCCGCTCCTTCTTGACGTTTCGCATTTTGACTTTGCCCGTCTGTGGATCGATCTCCTTTTCCATCGCGGCTCGTAATGAGAAAGACACCGGCGCGGCGGTGTACTCTCGGTTTCAGTACGATGGAAAAATTAGCCAACCTGCCTCTATGCAGGCGAGGAACGTAACGGCGCATTTTATACATTCAAAGGACATTGTATGAAATTGAAAGAAAGAGAGAGAGGAAGGAATATCTTCGCCGTTTTGCGTAACACAATTTTCCAGTACCCGTCGCGTCGATCACTCCGACAGAGAAAGAGAGAGAGAGAGAGAGATAGCCACCCGAGTAGAAAAATTAATAGAAGTAAGAGCCTGATTATTTTTCCCTAACATTAATCGGACCCTAGTAGAAATAGAAAGACAAGGTGTGTAACAAATGGTTTAACGGGTCCTTACAAAGCAATATTAATAGAGCCTTATAAGGAAATATTTTTATTATTGTTTGAGTAAAAATATTCGTTCTTTTCGTTCCAAGAAATTTAGACTGTAATTTCTTTATTTCTTTATAACCTTGTTAGTATACAACAAGAACTTTTTATTTTCAAAATATAGCATATTTTACAATAAAATATAGCATTTTTCACATATAAAAATCCTGCTACTGTTTTTATTAAAGCTGCATTTCAAAACAAAGGCAATACTAGAAAAATCCTTGAAAAAGACTAATGAATATGGCAACTAATAAAACTAATGAAATTTGTTTTCAATTGCGGTATAAAAAGATCTTTAAAAGAACCAGATGGAGCGTACCTACCAAAACGATACTAAACTATGACAATTTTATTACACGCTTCAGATCTTATTAATTTTCTGTAACAAAACTTGATTTTGTAGATCCTTCTAAGGGCCGCATCAGTTTTCCATGTTTTAAAGCGTTATTTCGTAAACTCTAAGGCATCCCTAAAAAATTCTTCTAAGGCCCTTATCAGTTTTCCTTCTATCAAGCCTTATGTATTAAATCTAAACCATCCCTAAAAAATCTTTTTAAGGGTCTTTCCAACTTTCCCTAGCAAAACCTTATTTATTAAATCCAAGGCATCCCTAAAAAGTCCTTCTAAGGTTCTTATCAATTTTCTTTATCAAAGTTTCTTACTTCGCAAAATCTATCTCAAGGCATCCCTAGATCCATCTCGGGGCCTGATGTAGTTCCATAATAAGGCATCCCTTCTTAGAGCATCCTACTTTCAGCCTTATCGGAGTCTTACATTTCATAAGGATGGCCCTAACAATTTTTTGCTCAGGCAGCGTTCGGGGAAACGTATTCGCGATTAAGCGTGTTTGCGGCACCCTTCGTGTTAGAAATCGTGCGTTTCCCTCTGCGACGGGGCGGTTATCCGTTTCGAGAAGGGAACAGGGAGAACAGATCGGCTTGGTCTCTCGTCACCGCGGCCAATGGCGGGTATCGAGGGTAAGGTGCTGAAGTGAGTCTCTCACTCTCTCTCTCTCTCTCTCTTTCTCTCGCGGTTCGGCCACTCTTGAAGCCAGCTGAAAACCGAAAGGCAACAAACCGTGTCCCTATACCGGGTCCGATTATAGACCGCGATCTGGGCCATCCCGGCTTCTCCCCCGAGCGTGCTCCTCGGCCGCGCAAAGAACGAGAGCGCGCGCAGCGCGGGGCTTCGCCACTTTACGAACTACAATATGCGAGAAGCGAGCGGCGACGGCCTTTTCTTGGAAGCGGCGGGAAACGATCGGGCATCGATCGTCGACACTCATGCCACCCCCGACGTGTGTGACGATCCGACGACGCCGGGCTCTACGTATTTAGAAGCGCACGCGGACGTTGCGCGCGTATAAATATCCCCCGGTGTATCTCGTTGCGCG